TTCGTTATCGGTACTGAAGGTCATATGCACGCACTATTTACACCCATATACCGAGATATTATATATGACATCAGGAATTCTTCGCAAACCAATAAATAGAAGTCGGCAAAGACGCACCCACAATTGGCCAAGGTAACATTCGGTGATATTACACTAAGTAAATCCGTCTCTACAGATGTACAGATCAGTGTCGTCCTACAATTATGTACAAAATTATGTATACATATCAAACCCAGAAACTGCTTCCCAAAATAAATGCGGACCGCAGGACACACTGGCCATGAATGTCGGAAAAGGAGCTCGTTGAAAAAGACATTTAAAGCAGTGTACGTGCAAGAAAAATTCATTAAATCGGTTTGCCGAATGTCGAGATCGTCAGGACAGGATTGCGTGTAACTCATATAAAAATTTGCAAGTGGTTGGAAATTTTATGTTTAACAACCGCATTGGAAAATGAAATATCTAAATACACAACCTTTCTTCACACGCCCAGTCAAGTTTTCCTCAATGGAAAATCCAGGTTAGAATACAAATGGCTGCCCACGGGCCGCCACATTATATGTGGACAACCTGTGTACACAGAAACACTCGGAATGCATCCGTTTCACATATTAAAGCAGAGTTGACATGACGATGTGTAACGGCCGTAGTGTTAAGTATGACTTCCGTGTTGTTGCAATAATCCTATCTGTTCACTGTAAAATGCTGTATAAGTTGTAGTGGATTCACTCGGTCTTATGAATCCAGAAGCCAATCGAATGTTCCTGCACTTCCCTAAATTTGTCCTTCATTTTCAAACGTTCGACAACGTGCGACCACTGAAACGTCACTGTCGGATCACGGAAGTAAAACATTAATCCACTGCCACTATTTGCCGTAATTTAGTTCTACGGCGGTTTTCCAAAAAATCAAAGAAAGCAAAACCACGAATGGCGACTGGCTGATTCTGAGATATGTCGCTGTTCTACTGCATACCGATCAATACGCAGCCTACTGTGCTGCATGATCCTGCTTTATTTAAAGCAGGTGCACAAGTTTGGGTAAAAGCTGACTCACTGTCCGGTCACATGATTGTCTCGCTTCTATCTCACGCATATATGGCCCCAAGTCCGCACATACACACACGAGGCACACGAGTACGTTTGTCTCACGCCCACCTTGGCGACACTTGTCTACTGTCACACGGAGGTGAAAGCATTTGCTATGTTGGCTACCTGTTAACAGCAGGGCAGCGAACGGGACAATCACTGACCACGCTGTATTGTTTGTGAGAGCGGATAAACAAATCTATATTACAAACAGAAGGATAACTATGTTTTAATATAGCAAGCAGCTTCCAATATGAGTGCTAAATATTCCTATAAAAAGATTTAGCTTCTAAAGTGCCATCGCGGATTATTTGAACCCCATGTGAACACATATAAAGGACGATAAATACCGTACGGTCAATAACCTGCAGCAGTGCAACCGAGTTATATTTGTCTAATATAACAAGAAAACCATTTTAGTCACACGCTTGTCTTACAGGTTAGCAGCAGTCTACATAAATTTCTTAAAGCTTTAGCGGATAGAAGTTGAGTGTTGCCTGCCCTAAAACACACCACAACATATTTCGATTTTTTGATCATGTCAGGATGAGAAAACAGCACTGGAACCTGGAAAATCCTACTAGTAGCTGAAACCACTAACCCTGGCAACGGGGTCACGACAGGAAACGCTTGTTACAAAAGTAACTGACTAAAATGGAGTCCTTTTGAAGTACTCGTTGTGTGAATGGATTGCTACATGTGATTTCAACCAGCTCAAATAAGCTCGAAACTCGTCGTGGTGTGCAGTGTTGTCGCGCGGACAATAACCAGTGTTCAACTGCTCCGGCCACGGTCCCAGTGATAGCATTGACCAAGGTTCCCTTCAATGTGAATCGCGTCTACGTAGAGATTGGTCATCGCAATCCAATCACACACTTCGAGTGCATCAAAAGGACAGACTAATTAAGTTGATTGGATTTCCAGCATTCTCCGTGTGCGCAACAAGCCCAATTTCCCAGACTAGGTATATTTGTTATAGACTTGCTCCTGCCATTCCTGTGTTAACCGCCTTCGCGACCTCAGCTAGCAGATTTTTAACCAAGTGTTCATTTCTAACAGCAGGGTATACACAGTAAGTAAACAGGCCAATTTTCTACATGCTGCGAGTTACCCTTTCACAACACCGCACTATACTACCGGTTCCGCGCTTGTTTTTCCGCGACGTCAATTGTTGTATCAAGACGGCAACAGAAAAAGCAAGATGAGTATCGGTATTTAGTCCAGAGGTACACACAGAGATAACACACAGAATAGCCAATTATAACCGTCTTGGTTAATAGCAATTAGAAGTGAGTTACTGTCTATCAACCAGATAATGAAACATTAGTTATGATGGATATCGTAATGAATCGACCACAAAAATAGCGAGGCAATTATTAAAAAAGAGGTTGGGCTCCCAAGCGGTGGTGTTTTCAAATTGGTACCTTAGATACTGTCTTAGTAGCCTACATGAAGGAAGCCTGAACTTGAAGAAATTGCGGGAAAACTTAAAACATTCTAAAAGTACTTCAAAATGAACGCCTACTCCAATAGTTTGTGTCGTTCTGATTGGCAATACCCCAGCAATATGTTAGTTGCCGCGCTTAATTTATTAATATTTCACTGAATGTTGCGCCTTTTCGATACCGCTCGCAAGATCCTTTTGATTATATGTTTGGTACTTCGCCCCAGTTTCCTTGCTCCACATTGGCAAATGTATCAGCAAACAGGCATTGCTTGGAGTTGAACGAGTACTTTCTTCTTGAAGCTGCCAGCGAATGCTGCACACGCTTGCAAAATAAGTTTAGTTGGGCTAAACCACAGGTTGCATCCGTCTTCATGTACGGACCACTGCCACTGTTAGTTTACATGGAGAATTAGGGAACAGTTGTTCCTTTTTGACTGGTATTAATTTGCCTCATTAGAGAGGTTATGTTTCCTCTCTCAATTCAATGGCCTCACGCATAGAATTTACCCTACATCATCTTGCTTCCTCGCTGCTGATGGAGATAAACAATGGTTCCCCTGAGATCTAAACATAATCTTGTTTGCCTCTTGTATTTCTGTGCTACAGAAGATTACAATTTGGAGATGTGCATTCTGAAGACACTCCAAGAAACCGGTTACGCGGCATTGTTGATTAAAGGTGCGCCATGATCTGCGTTAGCTGTGAAGTAATTACAGCTGTTCCTAAGAAGGACCTGTTCCTATCAGTTTTCTTCAAAGGCGATCTTTACTTTGATCTGCGGAACAGAACATATTTCCCTGCAGTGACGCGAAACTCCATTGCCGGATACCCTGAAATATTTGCAGAAACCGCTCACTTTATAGCACTGCGTCCCAAAGATCGTCTTCCGGTTTAATCCCAATCCTACATTCCATCTCAGTTTACCTGCAGCTGTGGTGTGAGGTACGTTGGACCCAAATCTAGGCGTTTGTGAAAAAGAACAGAAGAGCTTTGCTCAATGATTTTGCGCAAAAGCGTCACCAGTTGAACCAACAGTTCCGTCATGGAACATCAGGAATAATGCGGACATCCAATAAGGATCGCTGATGTCTTCAAAGCATTTTATGTCGTTCCGAAACGGTACTGCAGAAAGCTTTGTTGCAAGGGTTTCTTCTTCATTTGCTATAATTTGTCTCCCAACCTGTATCACTTCGTGAGCTGAAAGCGGTCGGGTAATGCGCTTGGCATTTCACTGCCCAATCAACAGCTCCTCTGTCAGCTAAGTTAAACGACCTTAAATATCAAGGCTTTTGAGTTTCTGACAGTTGTGATTCCACCAATAATATTTTGCTTCACCCCCAGTTTGTGCTCAAACACTTCATGTTATAATTGTCAATTCCTAAACATACTTGTCGAAAAGGGCACTATTCGCAAGTTTACCTCATTGATTTTATGCATTACCCAGCTTTTTGAGATTTTCGCACAATTATATAGAAGTTAGACAAGTCTACCTTATTTGAATAATAAAGTGGACAGTCAATCGTTTACTCCTCTACTGTACGAGAAGTTGATCATGTATCTGCTAAATTTAACTAAATGTACTTTACTACACAACTGCTTTTCAAACAACTGTGAATGTCTATGTAAACAGACAACCTCATGTATACCAAAATATTTGATTTGAGTAGGTTATCCACTAACACTTAATACCAAAGGATTAGCTGTCAACTGAAATGTATATAAAGAGCTTCCTGCGTATTCCTCAAAGTTATATGAATTATCACCAAGGATTACTCTCTTTGACAAGTCCGAGTCGGGTTACCCCTTTTTCTCTACAACCAGCTCAACGGGACACCAAGGGAACCATTCTGAACACACTGACGCGAACAAAATATCCATGAAGATGGAACTGAAACGGATCTCGATAAACGCCTTGCAGCACCGCATGCATTTGTGACAGAGCAAGACAGGAAATTGTGCCATACTACAGGGAAATAATTTGTCGGGATAATTCTTAGTGTGGTCATCGGTTTGAAATAAACTTACTATGACACCAGACGTGGACCTTTTTGACACAAGTCTTATATCGTTCATATAGTAACAGTAAAAATTATACCTAGAAATGACTAACATTTTTAGTGTTCTCCACCATTTCCATACACTCAGATTACGGGTAGAGCTTTCGTTAAAAGATTAAATATTTCCTTACCGCTTGATCACATTGGAAAAGCCCTAGATATTAATTAAATGTTCTACATTTCGGTAGTGGCATATTAAATGAAAGGCTGCCACTACTACATTTTAGTAAGCTGAAAATAATACTATATTAAAATTGTTCAACAAGGCAGGTAGAGAGACTACTTGTCTTAAACATTGTTCACGATGTTTATGCACAGAAACTGTGACGGCACTGTTGTGTATAATTTATCGCTCTTATCTTGGGATATTAAGAAAGTTGACAGAAGGTGTACAAATGTATGACTCACTTGGGACGTGGCTTCCGTGGAACGGTGAGTTTCGGGCAGAATTTGTTCAAGGTTTAATGGTCCCATGCCGAGGGAACACAAGGGCGTATAAGCGTTGTGAGTCACACGGTCATACTTGTTTCGTAAAGTAGCAGGATGTGGATGCGCGCCGTTCAGTGTGTGAAATCCAGTGATAATTGGAGTAGATGAGTTCGGCGTGGGTAAGTCAACATGTTGTGTCAATGTGGGACTCAAAGATTTTGTATGCGAGTGAATAAAACTTCGCTCTCCGAAGTCCGTTTGTTCACATACTTCATTTTCCCGTGTTACTGACTCCATCATACCAAGCCTACGACGAAGCAGGGTGACAATGGTTAAGAAGACAAAGACGATCAATGTAGACATCGCAACAAGACATACGATCACGATTACAGTTCGCTCTGATGAGAAGTACAACATATTTGATTTTGACATTTTCTGCTGACTGGATCTGTCTGACGAGTCTGGGGATCCCACGTCAATGGAAGAAGATAGCCAAGCACTATTTGTATCAGGATCAAATTGGACGTTTGTGGTCGCACCCAGTGTGTCCTTATTGGCTCCCGCGTACGGTAGTGGACGAACGTTAGCTTCCAGTTTATTGAACGGTGGCACATTTCCTTGAGAGTGGAACTGTGATGAGGACCCAGATATCAGCGAATGACCGGATGGAGTAGGCATCTGTCGATTAAGGATGACAGTAATATTCGCATAGCCGTATAATGGTGGAGTTCCATGGTCTTGAACCTGAAGTGTGATTTTAATGGCATGGTGCTGAATGAAAATATGTCACCGTCCAGTATATTTGGTAAGTACAGAGCAAATTTTGACATGATGAAATGACATAACCAACAAAGCAAATGCAACCCATCTTGTTTCCAATACAATATTATTACTTTGAAAAACAGATAAACTGAACAAAGTAAACTGTATGCGAAGCAGTCCACAACGTAGAAATGGATAATATGTACTAACCGGCACTTGCTATCAGGCTTTGTACCGTAAACAATAGAAAAAGGAGTCATCGCTTAAATGCTTTTACACTGTGGTCTTACCGGTAAACATAGCGCCGTACCGATAAAAAGGCACAAATTCCGCTGCTGCTGTCCAGAAATATGCGACCACTTCTCAGGAAAAAGGAATGATATCACAACCAGTTAGCAGCGAAATGAATTCAGGAATGCAGATATACTGATGTTGCTGTAAACGCAGTTGCATTCTGACACTGATGATGAAGTCGGTAATCTAAATAGTTATCACCACATTAGATCCGACCCCCAGGAAACCCCAAGTTCATGTAGGAGGCATCATCACTTACCTGAGAAAACGTCAGCGTAAATTCAGTTTCAACATTCACGGAGAACTCAAAAACCTCGGTAAGTTGTCACATGTCGGAGTGTAAAACAACGTTGAGGTATGGTTTCCTGACGCTCGAATCTGAGAAAGTGTACGTAGCTCCGAACACATTGCGCTGTGCGAGCTGTAGAAGTTTGCAGAACAAACTGTCTTGGAGTTGCAACCAAAGTGATATTGTTCCAACTATGTTTTCACCGGTGAGCGCAACGGGAGTGACATAGCTCTCATTAAGACAGTGAGTTAAGCCAACTTGGTGGAATTCCCCACTAGACTCAAGGCGTTCTAGGTTTAGATTTTACTAAAATACACGAACTATTTGCTAAACAAAGGCGGGCACCTCTTGGTAATTCTGAACATAGGTGGCGAACCTATGTCTCAAATCTTACAGTAAGGACAAGTTCGTTTCGCTTACAATAAGAACACCCAGAACTGTTAAACAATGGAACTTCTCAGCAGGTCCACTCGTAAATCTAGAAAAACACCGTTTAAATAATTCTGCAATATTCAGAATGAAAGCTTTCTGGTATCATTGCGCGTAACCCAAAAATATCTCCGCATCTGCTTTAACCTATGTTACCCAATTGCGACTATCTAATGGCGCAATGACATATTTCCATCCCCATTGCCTAAGCAATTGTGAAGGAATAAAGAACAGACATATAAACCTATGCTAACTGTCCGTGTAAACGCCTGTCCTTGACTATAACAGCTGAAATGTAAAAGTTCAATACTGTAAATTCCGGCCGTTTTAGGCAACCACAGTTGCAGTGAGTTGTGGATGTTTCTGAGACAATCATCTGGAAAGAATTCCTTCGGAATACTTGTAATCGAATACGTACATATACTCAGCAATATGTTCAGCTACTTATCATCTAAAACACTCCTGCCGCCATCAATTCCTGCTACTGAGCCTTCGACTTTACTTTATTTCACAATTTTGTACAAGGAGCTCATAAGTCTAAAGTTAAAATGGGATTGCGAACCGAATGCTCTATCATCATTCTCTCTGAAGGTATGCACAGATGGGTTAACAACACATCCGATCGCCTTCTTGTGTCTGTGCTTTACGGCTGGTATCATCCCTGACATTCGGAAAACAGCCGGAATAGCACCAGTGCTAAAATAGTGGCTCGGTAATGTCGGCCAATGGCGATTAAGTCCGTGATGCTAAAGCTAATGGATAAACCACTGTCCCTCCGCATTTCTACAGGCAATCATACTGATGCTGAAGAAGTTTACTTATAAATTACGGCACGCTACACTGGATGTTGCTTTTAGGTGATGCGTCCAACAAAGTTAGTAGTGGATAGTTGATGCTAGGGCGTACCGCTAATATTTCTTGGTTACTTTAAGGTTGTTGGCATCCTGAACAAATCATTACTGCTCAAAGTTTGTTCGGAAATGGCGTACCCATATGTATGTAGTATTATGAGTGATTTCTTCAAAAATCGCACCCACTTCACACATCTATGAGGTAGAAAGTCCTCTGTACTCCCAGCCGAGTGTTATGTGTTGTTGACAACCCTTCTATCCCCACCAAATTCACTGCCCACCTTAAAAGTTCCTCTATTCCATCAAACTTACAACGCTGTGAATATGCCGATGATGTCATCCTGGGTTACATAGCCCTATACAACGAGATTCTTCGAAACTCGCAGGTTTGTCGGATTAAGTATTGATTTGTTGGAGCTCCCGGTCCCTTTCTCTCAACCCGGCCAGATGTAATGATGCAACGTACTGTTTTCTACATCTCAACCATCTGGAGCCACTTACACATATCTCTCCTCCAATAATTGCACATGGCCAAAGCATACCTCTTGCATCTACCATGATATATCTCAGTTTTCCTAGCTCGCAATTCGTCTTGATTTACAGGTGCATTTGAGACATTTATAAAAGTTGTATTTTTGTTAGCAGATGCAAATTTTCATTTCCTGATGTCAACTGTTAGTCATCCTTGTTTTTGTATTATATTCCTCAGTGTTGTGTAAAAATATTGGAAATGCACCCATTTGGTGTATGAAAATTAATTTTGTTTGACTGGTGTACGCCGTACTAATTGCCCAACGTTTGTGGGCGTTATCCCTCTCAGATTTCATTGTTATTCGTACGAGAAAGGGTCACATATCCCTTTTCTTTAAAAATAAATTGTGGTTGGAATACTCTGCGCCATACAATGCTCCTTTCACACTCAGATGCCCATGTTAGTGTGATGGATACAGTGTATGAATATGTCGGTGTTTATGAAGATGAATGTATAGCTGGCCAGCACTTCTTTAAGGTGAGCACAAATTGGGTGGGTTTACTGGAAACGAAAGTGCCCTGTTTGAGCATGTTCGTCTTTGAAGTCAACTCCCTTCATTCTTGAAACTATGATTGGCGCCGCATTGCCACAATGCCAGGTTTGAAAATATATCAGCATATCTATCAGCGAGATAAAGACGCAGCCTGTTTGCGCCAATGGCTGTTAATTTTCATGGAAATATATACTGTCTATTCCATAAATAAATCGCTCAAGTATTAGTTTCGAGTGGAACGGTAAGATAACCCATACAATTCTTCATCCGCCTTCCGATGTACACAATTTTAACACAGGATTAACGCCACTCTGTAAATTTGATGATGATGTTTTTAAGATTAGCGCATTTGTGTTGATCCTTTGGAATCTGTGAGAGATAAAATTCAAAAATAACGACTTTTCCAGACATCAAATTTTAAATCACAAGGCCTTTATTAGCCTGTTAGATCGAGAAAGTTAACATGAGCATTCAAATTTCCCCTATATTTCCACTTAACATCATCTAAGCGCTGAACTACCTGCTCTTTCAAAAGTAGGGTTTATTTGCCTATGGCTTTCGACTTAAACTCATTCAATCACTGATAATTTGACTTCATTTTCTGAAGGTCAGTTTATTAAGTCCCAATCTAAAGCAAAGGCATCTAGCAAACATTTCAACTGTCGGAATAGTCAAAGTTAATTACTGTTAACTCTGGGTTTCCTACCAAGCAATTCAGAGTGATTGGGTTTCTGTAGCATCGCACTAAATAACAAGGTGGTGGCGAGGAATATTTTTAATATAATTAGTATAAAACTAGCATAAATGATGGTACGTAAACCAGTTAGCTCCTATACAACTCAAAAGTAGACACATATTCATCTATACTTTGACTATGAGAAATTCCTGACGCTTTTCAAGCAGGCAACTAACTTTTAGGAAATGGAGCTAAACCAATTGTAACAAAAAGTTCATGCACACGTAAGACCATATTCCACAGGGTATTATGAGAAGGTTACAAAATAATGGTAAATAAATGTGGGTATATTACAAAATATGTGTCATCGACATGGTAATAAAGGACATTTCATCTGATTTCGGTGGGAAAAAGTCTACGCAAGTATAGTTTGGTATAATGTGAAGTGTATTACTTTGGCTGTTCATAGTTGGAGGAAAAAGTACAATTAAATTTGGATAGTTGATCAAGAAGAAGGATGTATTCTTTTGCCTATGCATCATGTGTAGCGTTATCCTCAATATTGTTCCTTAATGCGCTTCTCTGTGCAATTAGTGGTTTCAAGTGTACATCCCAACAATAGAAAATATCGATTTTTTGTGTAAACATGGAAAGCACATCATAAAAATCTCAGTATGCACCACTGTAATAATTTCGGACGTTTGACATATTTTACCAAAATTACTCCATCTGTTAAAACCAAGCCTATGGTATTTTGACCGTAATACGCCACAAATTAACTTAATTATTTATATCTGTTA